TTCTAATTTCATATCATGCAAATAGGCATTGGTATCTAATGCTAGACCAAAGGAAATTCGATTTCTCTAAAACTGAATTCATTTTTTTTCGTTTATGGGGTACAAATGTCAACTTTTTACAAGACCGTTTCTAAGACTTCAAAGAACCTTGAATCATATTAAGATGCATAAAATGAAAATTGTTGCACGAAAGGATCTCAATTTTAAGCTTCATTTTGAGACTTTTTAAATAAAATAATAAATTTAAGAGTTATCCTTCCTGGCTGACGATCGGATATCCTTAAGCGACGGCACTATGGTCTTAGCTCATTCAAGATTTAGCGCAAACTTCTTCATAATCATAAATTAGCGCATTTGGAGCCAAACATTTATTAGCCGCACGAATGGCGCTCAAATATGATTACTATCATATTGTAAATTTTGAATTTACTGGGGGAGGTAAATACATTTTTGCATTTACCTCCCCCTAATATATTCAAAATTTACAACATGATATTACCGCTAAAATACGACTCAATACAGTAATAAAAATTACATAACGAAAAGTAAGTGACCTTTAGTTTGAAAATAATTGAAATTAATTTGAATTTAAATTGAAAATAATTTGTGTTTAAGGAAGCTCTAAACGATGCTCGCCGAAGAGTTCTAATTACCTGGTAGTTTTATGCAGTTAGAGTTATCTGCCCATTGATGAGCAAATCTACAGTAAATGATCATAACATCATAAAGTAATTAAAAACATTTTATGCATGTATTTTCCCGAGGTAAGTAAACAACAGTGATTTCTGCTGGATCCATCATGCATGTTAGAAAAAAAATCCAGGCTTTGGATATTGTAGATCAACAATTTGGACTACATAACGTATTGGATCAACTAAAAATTGCAAGGATTTTCAAAAACAATTTTCAAAGCGAGTCACTGGGTCTGCTATAAGTACCTAAAAAGTGATGGATTATTAAAAACCGTGTACCATTTCGGTGATCAAAGCTTTGTCAATTCATTGTTATCCAGTCAAACTGTTTTGCTGTGCAACATTAAGTATATGTATTGAAGTGGGTCCTTGTAGTTAGACGGTTAACATAAAGAATTATTAAATATAGATGTAGCAAAACTTGTTAATGAAGTCAAGACTCTCATGTATAGGGTTCACCATGGCTTAATTTTGTAAGACTTATTATTTATTAACGAGAAAACTACCTTTTAATTTTAGGAGTTTAAATTTAATAATGTTAACATTGATATTATCAGTAAAGACGTGTCTGATAGGATTGTATGAATACATTTCATGTAACTTTATGATGCCCGCTCGGAATATTCCGGTACTCTATTTAGCTAAAGAATTTCTTGTATTTACTGGCAATAATTTTTGTTTTAACTACATGTGGAGATAACCAAGTAATCAGTTAAAGGAATGTCGACTTTCAAATACATGTAAAATTTTAATGTCTTTCATAATGATAAAAAAATATTTGTCTATCAAATAATTAATATAAAGTCAAGTGCTTTACATTCAATGGAAAATGAGTATTTTGTCAGATTTTGTCAATAAATGTATGTTGATTATCGGATGTAATTCAGGTACTTAATAATAATTATTATTAATAATATTATTATTTGTTGGCCATATCATAATTTTAATGTATCGTCAAGTTTCAATGTTCGTACCATCAACATATTTCTCTGTATTTAATGTGGGCTTTGCGTAATTTGACATCAGTGGAAAAGAATTGTAAATATCAATCAATCCCTGCAGATTAATGAGATAAATGAATAATTCGATTTCAGCTTTTTTTTCGGGATCATATTAGAAAGAGATCTCGAGTCTTCATAATTCCGAATTTTACAGACAACCAAAGGCTATTCTTACACTGTGTATCTAAATGGCCATTGTCAGGGAGTGACCTTTCTCTAAAAATTCAGTCCCTCGGAATGTTATACTGTCTTTACCCATCCCTGATTATATAGAATAATATTTACGATTTTGCATATTTTAGATGAGACATTCCTGCAAAGTCTGATGCGATAATCAAGAATACATTCCCTGTTCTTCAAGCATGTACCGATGTCTCATTTTGTGCTGTATTCAAAAATTTGGTTTTAATTCAGGTAATAGGTATAATATTCCTGTAATAAGAAAATGAAAAAGATAAGGTTTCCAATAAAAGCAAGGGGTTTATCAAAATAAGATATGGTGGTCTCGCCCTCAACATTGAAAAATGCAGACCATTTGCACATGAAATGCCAATATCCTAGTTTGTCGAAACAAGCTTTGGAAAGTCCTGTGCATTTCAAGCCGCCGTGTATATCAACTTTTCTTTTTCATTTTACAATATAAGTTTTTAATCACCATTAATCTGTTCATGTTTTAAAGATTCGTGAAAGCCGAGAAATGTAGGTGTACTTGTCTCTTTGATCAAAGTTAATTTATCAATTCCAGACAAGGGATTTAAGGGGGTGAGCACATTCCCATAAATATTTCATTTTGGAGTAAAGTTTATTCGTTCAGTGGTATTTCGAGTAAGTCTAACTCGTATATTATTTATTTATTTATTAGATAATTGACTGTTCATTCTGTGCCATTACGTACATGTAGAACACAAGTTTGACAACTTCACGATCACTTCCTTTATAAAGGTTCCTTATAATGTATTATAACTGAATTATACTCCTTTAATTTTTTTTTTTTACTTTTTTTAAAATTATTATTTTAGTTATAATATCTACTTATATAATTTATTATGTATAAGTAGTCATTGTCCATTCTTACAATATTATACATTTGCAACCTTGACCCTTTGGGAGAGGACTTGTATAGGCATGATGTCTGATGTCCAATCCAGTTTTAGCCACCCGAGTACAGTATTCACCGAGCCCGAAGGGTGAGGTAAATATTGTACTTTGAGGGTAGCTACTAGTATATGTAAATCATTATATTGACTGAAAAAATAGCAAGCGAAAAAAACTTCTCATCATAACCAATTATATAATTTTATTACGTTCTTTATATCTATTTTGGTCCATCGTAGAAAAATGTTTTCTTGGGAAGGTTGGGTGCAGATGAACATAACTTTTCATAAGTAATTTTATCAATTTTGAAGTTATTGATTCATTTTTTTATTCCATTGTTAAAAAAAGTGAAAGTTGAGTGCAGGTGTACATAAATAAGTATGACCTCTACAAAAGCCAATCAGAGAGTTAGGAATTATACCAGCATATGATAAAATATAATATTGATTAAATTAAAATATGTGTTATACATACACCTTTCAGCTTTGGTACTTGTAACAATTGCGTTATATTTTACTTCCTATTACATGTGTAAACAGGGACGCATATAAGTCTCATTAGAAACACTCCCATACAACTTTATTATTAATTTCTCTTTGTTTTATTTTGAACATATTTTATTGTATGAATAATACAAAGGGATTGGTTACAAGTTCTTACAACTTGAGAAAGCCTTTCCCTGTAATACATACAATAAGTATAATGACTGTCGAACGAGCTATTTACAATAGTAATGAAAATGTAAAGTTATACATGACATATAAACAAAATATATTTCTCTTGGTCATGATACAAAAAGATACAACCATTCATCAATTGTGTCTGTCCTTTTTTCGTTACTATATGGTCTAATTTAAAAGATAAACTTCGTTTGAAGTATATGGGGTTTAACAATTAATCTTACTCCTGAAGAAATCATATTTCGATATAACAGTTCTAAAGAAACTGCTTTCAGAACTTTGAGCATAATTCTGGTTGCAATGCAGTATACTTAGCTTAATGAAAATGTAACTACATGTACGTCTTTTCATGCTTATACTTGGAAGTACTTTAAATAGATACTATAGAGCTATACCCCCCCATCTCTCTCTCATAAAAAAGCAGCCAAAATAAAGATGTTGGGATTTCTTAAAAACATTTCTCAGTGAAGGAATAGGTTACAATACAGCATAGTTATAAATGCATGCATACTTTATTCATTTTCAAAACTGTTTAAGCGGATTTCTTTTTTCTATTATGTACGAGTGTTTTAAGCATGTGTTGTAGTTTTGTAATGTTTATGTAAAAATGCATGTTATAACAGAAATAAAAATAAAGATATCACCCCCCCCCCCTAATAATTTTGACAGTTTTTTTTATGTCTCAGACTTTGGATACCTGGCTGTTGATGAGAAATATGAGAAATATTTCTACGTAGTTGTTATTGGTCTGCATATTCTGGACGTGTTCATTCTAGATAGATTTCAGAAAAAAAATCTAAAATAAATATAATTTTAATTCAATATTATAATTGACAACACCACCGTACATGTACATTGGCATATAGTCTATTCTCTTAGAGAAGTGGACCACAGGCACTTGGGGTATGGACCTAAACCCCCCACCCCCACCCCCTTTCCATTTTTTTTCTTTTTAAATCTGGGTCGATGCACCTTTTTCTATTTTTGTTTTCTACTATGCACTATATGTTATCAATAAAGTAACTCTTTTGCCTCTATAAACTGTTTTTAAATATATCGTTTTCGACTGATACATAAGAGAGTTATATATATCAGTCGAAAACGATATATTTAAAAACAGCTTATAGTTCTTCTAAGCAAAAGAGTTACATTATTGATAACATATAGTGCATATTAGAATACAAAAATAAAAAAAAGGTGCATCGGCCCCAGATTTAAAAAAGAAAAAAAATGTAAAAGGGGGGGGGGGGGGAGTTAGGTCCATACCCCAAGTGCCTGTGAAGTGAACCGGCTTTCGCCTACATCCAGGTGAAAGCCTGTCTACTTCACTAAAGAGAATAGCATATTGTCATGAATACAACAAACAATTAACATACATAAAAATCATGGCATATCAGTTATGTTGAAGTTTCTTTTCTAACATCAAAGCACTTTTTTTCAGAAAGTTACATACTCGAATAGTTGGAGGGTTGATAATGTCGAGAATTATTAAAATCATGCAAAGAGAGATAACTCTCATTCCTTTGACTTGGACTTTGAGTCTTCTGTGGTGGAGGAGATGAGAAAACAACAATCATGGCGTCGATAGCTCGCTGTCTGCTCAGAACAGGACAGACTACCGCAAAAGTTGTAAGCAGAGGTATATAGAAAGAACAAATTATGAACATGATGAATCATTAATTGAAAGATTATTCAAACTGCTTATTTTGCAAAGATGTATTTCTTTAGCAGCATTAACTTAAGCGGAAAACTTACGAGGGCTTACCCTAGTTGTGTAACCCGATTTTACTCTGTTGTGCAACCATTGCTCTTTTCGTTTTATGAAGCGTTTAACTTTTTCCTCCACCCGATGTTGTTTTATAAAGCAGACGTGCAAATGTGAGATGAAAATTTAAAAAATATGCAAAGGCCTCATAGTATATATCCTACGATTTATTTTTTTAAATATCTGTATCTAATCCGAGATTCCTCTAAACTCTAACCACAGGGGCATCTTAATCTTATCTACATATATAAAAATGCACATGTATTTTTATATGTATAGTCTGGTTATATGTGTCCACTTCTCTAAAGAGAATAGGGTGAGAATCAGAGCAGAAGCCATATTGAAAAGTGGGAATTCAGCGACACCAGCTGGTCTTGCTACTCTGCCTACCTTTTTTCAACTTTGAAAACCATATTTTTGAAAAACCTGTATTGAAGTAGCTTTATCAAGCTAATTTTGAATCTATAGCTTAAGAAAGCTATAGAGGTAATTCAAGCTATATATAGCTAAATCAAGAGATTGTGCTGGACCTGTTTACTGGTACAGCTGCCATTTAAATTTTGGATGCTTCCAAATTTAATTGTCAGTATAGAGCATCATAGAGGTTTAATATATTTTTATTATTTTTATCAGAATGTCTGCATTCCATTTGCACCGAAACACATGAATAATGTCATGTCTGTGCTTCCATGGAATATTGATAATATTTGATTAGTTAAAGACTAAATGCATGGCATCTTTCTTCTACCATTTGGCTGTTTTGCTTCCTCAGTCTGCTCTTGCTTATTACAGAATACCTCAACAATGCTAGGTCCTTGTCCAGTTTGGCAGATCTCCCAGACACACACAGAATGCTGCAGAAAAGTTGCAGGGACTTTGTTGATAATGAGCTGATGCCAATTGCTGCAAAGTTAGATAAGGAGCACTTATATCCAAAAGACGTGGTAAGTATTTTTTCATCATAATTTACTAACGATACAAATCAGCCTTCAGAAGTATTGTTTAAAGGGATCACAATACTGTAAAATCCTTACTTAATGTACGTACTAAAGTATTTGTAAAATAAATTGTACATATCAAGTCATGAGAACATGAATTCCTAGTGGACTATAAATAGAGTACATTGTATTTACATGTATTTCAGTGATGTGATGAAAATAATTGTGAATTATTTTGCATGATGCTTCTCATGAAATAATGCGATAATAAATTCCTCATGTCTAATTAGGAATCTACAGTAACCTAGCTGACTCCAGAGATAATCAATTTCTTGGTCTGGTCTTAGCTGACTCTTTGTCCCCAAGACACTTTTGTCCCACAGTAGTTTTTACAAGCTACTTCATGATTTTTACTCTTGACTTTTGAAGAGAAATTAATTTATATCAAAGCATTGAAAATGAAAATCTGAAAAAAAATTTCTGAGCTATTAAAAATTTTTCCTGGGCTAGATAATATTACAGTTCCACTAGCCCTACTGACTAGTAACTTTTTAAAGGTTTTGAAGACTTAAACAGTACCTGACATAAAATTCATCAAGATGCATTTATCAGCATCTATAGATGGAAAGCTAAAACTAACCATATCTACTAATTATTGTACAGTGTATAATTATTTAAGCAATTAGAAAGATGTATGGCTGTATTGTATATACTTTGTATAGATAAAGAAGATGGGAGAGCTGGGATTGATGGCGATTGATGTTCCCCATGAGGAGGGAGGGACAGGACTGGACTATCTAGCCTATGCCATTGCGATGGAGGAAATCAGCCGAGGCTGTGCATCTACAGGGTGTATCATGAGTGTCAATAATGTAATTTTTGTTTTTAAAATTCAAGAGCCACAAAAATCATTCTTGAAAAATCTGGATCATAGCACATGAATTTGCAATGGAGGTTTGTTACAATTCAAAATGTGTCTATAAGTAGTACATGTAATAATATATGCAGATTGCTTTATTGGTTCTTTTATCTCTCATTAGCTAGGATATTGAGCTCACATTGGTTTTTCAGGTTCTGCTTAATATTTATATCAATATTTAATTTTAGTCACTTTACCTTGGGCCAATAAATAAATGGGCCACAGCCGCACAAAAAGAAGTTTTTCAGGAACCTTTTTTACATGGAGACAGAGTTGGGTGTTTTGGCCTCAGTGAACCAGGTTTGAATATTACTTTGAACAATGATATTTTAAGACACTGAAATTACTTTTAATAGGCTATCTTAAAAAAAAAGTTTGTTTACCCTCTCCCAACTCAAGATAAAAAAGGTGGGTCTGTAGGTATGTAAGGAATTTTTTTTTTATAAATTTTCAAAATCAATGTTGAACTTTGAAAATTTCAATGAATGGTGTTGCCATGGTTACTAAAAATAGAAATTTGTGAAATACTTTCAAAACTCTACTTTTCCTACAGTTTTTGTTTAATTTCAGTATAACTCAGAATGCAAGTAGACAACACTTAGATACATAATTCTTGATTTTTGATGAATGGAATTGCCATGGTTATTTAAAATGGAAATTCCTGTGAAATTCTTTTGAAATGCTACTCCACCTACAGTTTTGGTCTGATTTCAATATTATTTGGCACACAAGTAGACTACACTATGATACATAATTCTTTGTATTGGTTTTTAACTTCAAATCTCAATGAAAAGTCAGTATTCTAATTTATTGATTTTGCGTAGTTTCAAGTCCAAGCGCTTCTTTTCTCTTCCTTTGTTAAAAAGATTCTAAATTGTTCAAATCATGACTCCCGGTGGTAGGGTGGGGTCACAATGGGGAATCAAAGTTTGAAATTGAAATATATAGGAAAAATCTTATAAAACTTTTCTTCTCAAGAACCACTGGGCCAGAAAAGCTGAAATTTATGTGGAAGCATCCTTGGGTAGTGTAGATTCTAAATTGTTCAAATCATGATCCCTGGGGGTAGGGTGAGGCCACAATACATATTACAAGGGGGAAAATCTGGTGTAGAACAGCAGGGCCAAAGTTACTCCGGTGAGTGTTATGGCCCATGGGCCTCTTGTTTAAAGATGGCTTTATTAGGACATGTAATGACAAAACTTATGGACGTTTCATTATATTATTAAATTCAAGTTTGTTCAGGCCTACATGTGTAGGTCTCTTAGGTCTTGATTAGGCTATAATAAAGATTTAAGATGTTTTATTTTGAAAGCATTATTTAAGATATTTTGAAGATCTACAGGGTCTTAAATTGTAAAATGAATTTGTAAGCATCCTAATGTAGTGTAGGTTCATCACTTCCTGTGTCTTAGTAAAAACTAAGAGTACGAGTCAATGTTTTTTTTTTAGGTCACCTGAGTCACTCAGGTGACCTATTGCTATCTCTTTTCGTCCATCGTCGTCCGTCGTTCGTCGGTCGTAAACTTTTGAACATTTTCAGCTTCTTCTCTGGAACCAGCAAACCAATTTCAACCAATTTTGGCATATAGCATCTATGGGTGAAGGGGAACAAAAATTGTGAAATTCGTGGCCCCAGCCTCCCTGGGGCCTGAGGGGTGGGGCCAAAACCATCAAAATTAATGCAATCTTTAAAAATCTTCTTCTTTACTCCTGGACATCAAGCAGTCAAACTGTTGGCATGATTGTAATAAGCATTGAGCCCTCTACTAAAATTGTGAAATTCATGGCCCCAGGGTCAGGGGTTCTGGTGCTAGGGCGGGGCTATATAGATCATATAGTGAAAGTGCATTATTTCTTTAAAAATCTTTTTCTCTACTCCTGGGTATTATTGAAACAAATTGAATACATAGTTATTATAAGCAAGAGTGACTCTACCGAAATTGTGAAATTCATGGCCCCAGGGTCAGGGGATCTGGTGCTAGGGCGGGGCTATAAAGATCATATAGTGAAAGTGCATTATTTCTTAAAAAATCTTCTTCTGTACTCCTGGGTAGTATTGAAACAAATTGAATACATAGTTATGATAAGCAAGGGTGACTCTACCAAAATTGTGAAATTCATGACCCCAGGGTCAGGGGTTCCGGTGCTAGGGTGGGACTATATAGGTCATATAATGAAAGTGTATTATTTCTTTGAAAATCTTCTTCTCTACTCCTGGGTATTATTTAAACAAATTAAATACATAGCTATGATAAGCAAGGGTGACTCTACCGAAATTGTGAAATTCATAGCCCCAGGGTCAGGGGTTCTGGTGCTAGGGCGGGGCTATATAGATCATATAGTGAAAGTGTATTATTTCTTTGAAAATCTTCTTCTCTTCTCCTGGGTATTATTTAAACAAATACATAGTTATGATAAGCAAGGTTGCCTCTTCCAAAATTGTGAATTTCATGACCCCTGGATCAGAGGTTCTGATATTAGGGTGGGGCTCTATTTATTATATAGTGAAAATGCATTAATGCTTTAAAAATCTTCTCTGCACCTGGGCATATCAGAGGCAAAAAGAGTAAAAGTTTTAATAAGGAAGCGTATTTTTACCAGATTTTTGAACATCAGAACCATTTGATCAAGTGTTCTGGTCCAGGTCAGGGCTCTATTAATTTGTATTCTATTGAGAGGAGTTATTCCCCTTTGCCATTTACTTGTGTTAATTAATCACTGTAAATAATGTACTTGAAAGGTTAATAGAATAAGAGAATTATGCAAGAATTTTTATTGTAAAATACAAAAAGTACTTTCATAGTTTTAATGATCAGGTAGATTTGTAAGTAACAGATAAATAAAAATGAGACAAAAATAACTTGTCTTATTAAATGTTCATCAAGGACCAAGAGAGGCCATTGTAAAAGATTTCAACAAGGAATTAAGAGAGTGCAGAGGCACTGATTATAAGTTTGTTTATATACTGTCTGGTGAGAGTGATAAATGGGGAACAGATTAGAACCTAATTTATGTACTGTTAATGAACACTAGACTAATTATTTTGTTGATCCTGATCACCCTATTTTTCTTGCTTTTGGGCAACAAAGCTTCACCTTTCAGTTCATTTTATACTCTATGGATCCTCTAAATTGTTGTATTATACTCAGGTGACTGTTAAGGCCCTTGGGCCTCTTGTTTTAAATGAAATGGATTCACACTGCTCTAGATTCATGTTCAAATTCCTATATCCAGATTAGGAAGGCTGGGGTACAGCTTCTGTAAACTTTTAATTTTTAGGTCACCTGAGTCACTCAGGTGACCTATTGCTATCCGTTTTTGTCCGTCGGCGTTCGTCGTTCGTCGTGCGTCAGTGCGTTAACATTTGAACATTTTTAGCTCACCTCGACGAAGTCGAGATGAGCTTATGCTATACCCCCGGCGTCGGCGTCGGCGTTAGCGTCGGCGTCCCAGGTTAAAGTTTTAGGAGCAAGTCCCATTCCCAAGTAACTATAAGCCCTACCTGGACCAAACTTGCATGGATGATGCATCTAGGGATGGACACTACCACACTTGCTTCGGATGCTGGATCTGACCTAGATTTTCCAGATGAGTGACCAGGTTAAAGTTTTAGGAGCAGGTCCATTCCCAAGTAACTATAAGCCCTACCTTGACCAAACTTGCATGGATGATGCATCTAGGGATGGACACTACCACACTTGCTTCGGATGCTGGATCTGACCTAGATTTTCCGGATGAGTGACCAGGTTAAAGTTTAAGGGGCAGGTCCATTCCCAAGTAACTATAAGCCCTACCTGGACCAAACTTGCATGGATGATGCATCTAGGGATGGACACTACCACACTTGCTTCGGATGCTGGATCTGATCTAGATTTTCCAGATGAGTGACCAGGTTAAAGTTTTAGGAGCAGGTCCATTCCCAAGTAACTATAAGCCCTACCTGGACCAAACTTGCATGGATGATGCATCCAGGGATGGATACTACCACACTTGCTTCGGATGCTGGATCTGACCTAGATTTTCCACATGTGAGACCAGGTTTAGATTTAGGAGTAGTCTCGTTTCCAAGTAACTATAAGCCCTAAATGGACCAAACTTTCATGGATGATGCATCTAGGGATGTACACTAACCAACCTGCTTCGAATGCTGGATCTGACCTAGATTTTCCACATGAGTGAATTTTAGCCATATTTTAACCAAATTAGCATGGATGATGTATCTAGGGATGGACACTTCCAGACTTGCCTTGGATTCTGAATCTGATGTACATTTTCCAGATGAGTGACCAGGGTAATTTTTTGGAGTAGCTATATAATATTATGGCCTGTTATGATTAAACTTGCATAGATGGTGCATCTAAGAATGAAAACTTCCAGACTTGCTTTGGATGTTGGAAGTGACCAAAATTTTCTTGATTACTAAACAGGTCAAAAGTTTTTTGAGCAGGTCTATAATTAAATCAAACTTGCATGGACATTGATCTTGGGATGTACCCTAACTAGAAAAAAATATGATGTGAAATTTGCCTTACATGTAGATAACATTCGTCGAGGTGAGCTTCGTAATCTTTGATTACCTATGTTTAGCTTCTTCTCTGAAACCGCTCAACCAATTTCAACCAATTTTGGCATATAGCATCTATGGGTGAAGGGGAACAAAAATTGTGAATTTCATGGTCCCTGCCCCCCTGGGGCCTGAGGGGTGGGGCTAAAACCACCAAAAATAATTCAATCTTTAAAAATCTTCTTCTTTACTCCTGGACAACAAGCAGTCTAACTGGTGGCATCATTGTAATAAGCATTGGGCCCTCTACCAAAATTGTGAAATTCATGGCCCCAGGGTCAGGGGTTCTGGCCCCAGGGTGGGGCTATATAGATCATATAGTGAAAGTGCATTACTTCTTTGAAAATCTTCTTCTCTGCTCCTGGGTATTAAATAAAGTAACTAAGTACATAGTTATAAAGAGCAAGAGTGCCTCTTCCAAAATTGTGAAATTCATGGCCCCAGGGTCAGGGGTTCTGGTGTTAGGGTGGGGCTCTATTGATTATATAGTGAAAATACATTAATTGTTTGAAAATCTTCTTCTGTGCTCCTAGGTATTAAATAAAGTAACTAAGTACATAGTTATGATGAGCAAGGGTGCCTCTTCCAAAATTGTAAAATTCATGGCCCCAGGGTCAGGGGTTCTGGTGTTAGGGCGGGGCTCTATAGATTATATTGTGAAAAAGCATTAATTCTTTGAAAATCTTCTTCTCTGCTCCTGGGAATTAAATAAAGTAACTAAGTATATAGCTATGATGAGCAAGGGTTCCTCTTCCAAAATTGTGAAATTCATGGCCCCAGGGTCAGGGGTTCTGGTGTTAGGGCGGGGCTCTATTGATTATATAGTGAAAATGCATTGATTCTTTGAAAATCTTCTTCTCTGCTCCTGGGCATTAAGGTGATAAACTAAGTACATAGTTATGATGAGGAGGTGGACCTCTTCCAGAATTGTGAAAGCCATGGCCCCTGGGTCAGGGGTTCTGGTGTTAGGGCGGGGCTCTATTGATTATATAGTGAAAATGCATTAATTCTTTGAAAATCTTCTTCTCTGCTCCTGGGTATTATTTAAACAAACTAAGTGCATGGTTATGATGCATAAGGATGCCTTTTAAAAATTGTGAATTTCATGGCCCCAGGGTCAGGGGTTCTGGTGTTAGGACGGGGCTCTATTGATTATATAGTGAAAGTGCATTGATTCTTTGAAAATCTTCTTCTCTGCTACTGGAGATTATTTAAACAAACTAAATGCATGATTATGATAGGCAAGGATGCCTCTTCCAAATTTTTAAATATATGGCCTCAGTTTTTGGGGTTCTTGAGGAGGGGGGGGGGGGGCTCTATTGATTATATAGTGAAAAAGCATTAATTCTATTAATCATTAATTAATCCTGTCTGCTCCTTGGTGATGAGCTGATAAATAAATTGCTTAGCTATGATGAAAATGGGAGCTTCAAACAGAATTTTTAAATCTTGTGGTCCTAGGGTCAGGGGTTCTGGCATAACGAGGGGGGGGGGGCTTTTGATAATATAGTGGAAAAGTGTTCATTCTTTAAAATCCATAGTTATGATGATGAGGGTAACTCTTCCAAATTTGTAAATTTCTTAACCCTTGGTCTTGGGTTCTGGTGTTAGGGTAAGGCTTTGTTGAATCTGTAGTGAAAATGCATTGTACCTGTGAAATTCTTCTCTGCTTCTGGGCATATCGGAAGAAAACTGAGTAAAAGTTTAAATGATATAAGTAAGCGTATTTCTACCAGATTTTTGAACATCTGGACCATTTGTCTAAGCATTCTAGTCCTGGGCAGGGCTCTATTAATTTGTATTCTACTGAGAGAAGTTATTCCCCTTTTCCATTCACCTTTGATAATTAATCACTGTAAATAATACATTTGGAAGGTTAATAGAATAGATAATTATGCAAGAATGTTTATCATATAATTAAGGTCTTCCGTTTTAAACGGAAGACCTTATAGTGATTCTACTGTTTCTTCTTTTTATTATTATTATTTTTTTTTTCCCCTTTTCTTTTCTGGGCGATTTCTCAGAGATGGCTGGACGGATTTTCTTGAAATTTTCAGGGATGACAGAGAATGAAAATATCTCCAGGCGTTTTTTTCATTTTCTCAAAATTCACTTCCGGTCGTCAGATATGTCCGATTTCCGTTTTTTTCAAAAATATTTTGTCCCAGTCATATCTCAGAAACGGTAAGAAATTAAGACACCAAACTTATAGGGTTAATAGATCTTGAGGAGTAGGCAAAACCATTTGGGTTAAGAGCGTCAGCCGTCACTTCCGGTCGTCACAGGAAGTGATCAAAGAAATCGAAATTTTCAACTTTTCTTTTTTGATTTTTTTCTTTCATCACATTGTTGCATCTTATTTGTAGATTCGAAATATGTTGGACCCACCGGAAACAAAAACGTCAACTTCCGGCTATAAGCAAAAAAATGCATAATTTGAGTATTTTACTTTCCCATAAATATTTTTTATAGATAATGTATTTGAACTGATTTTTGAATATGTTATCAAGACTGCAAATGTCTAGAGTAACGTCAAATATCTTTGTAAAATTCACTTCCGGTCGCGCGTTTGAATGTCCGCAAAATGAGAACTTGTCCGAGTGAGATCTCAGAAACGCTAAGAGATTAAGACACCAATCTTATAGGAGTATTAGACCTTGAGGAGTAGACAAAAGAATTTGGGTTAAGAGCGTCAGTCGTCACTTCCGGTCGTCACTGGAAGTGATCAAAGAAATAAAAAAATTCAACTTTTCTCTTTTGGAATAAGACTTGCATCATATAATTGTATCTTTTTCACAGTTACGATATGTGTTGGTCCCACCGGAAACAAAAAACGACAACTTCCGGTTATAAGAGAAAAACTACATAAAAGGGTATTTAATTTTCCCATACATATCGCCTATAGATAGAGTTCTTTAAATGACTTTTATATATGTTATTGAGACTGCAGATGTCTAGAGTGACGTGAAATATTTTAGTAAAATTCACTTCCGGTCGCGTGTTTTCTTGTCCTCAAAATGAAAATTTATTTCAGAAAGATCTCGGAAACGACATAAAATTAAGACACTAAACTTAAAGGAGTAATAAACCTTGGTGAGTAGGCAAAACATATAGGGTTAAACGCGTAAGCCGTCACTTCCGGTCGTCACAGGAAGTGATCAAAAAAATCAAAATTTTCAACTTTTCTTTTTAAAATTAAAACTTGCATCACTTTATTGCTTCTCTTTCGCTGTTTTAAAATATGTTAGATTCTATCGGAAACAAAAACTTTAAACTTCCGGTTTTAAGAGATAAACTACGTTATTTCGTGGTTTAACCTTCTCATAAATATTACTTATGGATAAGTATTTGAAATGTTTTTTACATATGTTGTAGATACTGCAAAAGTCAAGAGAAAATTCAGAGATTTTTATTCAGTTCACTTCCGGTCATGTGTTTTCCTGTCCTCAAAATTAGAATTTGTTTTCACATTTGTTCGGCAACAATAATAGACTGAAGTCTAAAACTTTCAGGACTTATAGTCAGTCATCAGTTCATTTGCATCGTGTAAAGATCGTGTGTCGTCATTACTTCCGGTCGTGACAGAAAACGAAGCAAAAAAGTAATTTTTTAAGTTATTTTGTTTCTACATAAATTATAGGCTAATACCGACGTTGGAAAAGACATGTTGATGCAAACAGGAAGTAGTATAACGGAAGACCTTCTCATTACTAGTAATGAGTTTCTAGTTCAAAAAGTATTTTCTTAGTTTTAATAATCAGGTAGACCTGTAAGTAATAGATAAATAAAAATGAGACAAAAATAACTTATCTTATTAAAAGTTCTTCAAAGACCATAAGAGAGGTCAATGCGAGAGGTCTTAATATGGGTTTAAAAATAGTACAGAAGCACTAATAGTTTGTTAATAGTCTGCATGGTGATAGTGTTAAGTGGGGGACAGATTAGAACTTAATTTATGAGTTGATACTGAATACTAGACTAATTATTTTGTTGATCCTGATCTTCCTACTTCTCTTGCTTTAGGGCAACAAAGCTTCATCTATCAGTGTATTTAACTTCTAAATTGTTGTATTATACTCAGGTGATACTCAGCCCTTGGGCCTCTTGTTTCAATTACTGTAGGAATAAATTGGAAAATATCTTATAAAAATAATCAAGATTTAATTTATAAATTGTGTCAATATACAGGTAATGGCAGTGATGCTGGGGCAGCTTCTACTACGGCTCGTCTGGATGGAGACTCCTGGGTGTTAAATGGAACGAAGGCTTGGATTACTAATGGATACGAGGCAGAAGCAGCCGTGGTATGAGATTTCTCTGACTTGCTATCTGTTCAATTACCTTGAAAAATACCTAAAGTTTGGTAATGGGGGCTGAAAAATTCTATTGCCTAAAGCCTATAGGGCTAGTGAATTTAAAGGGGCATAGACACAGATTTGAAAATAATATTTTCTCAAATTTTCTGTATTATAGCATGACTTAAATGTTGCTATAGCATTTCACACAGAAATATAATAAAAAACTTATTTTATCTGGAAATTATTGAAACTATGAATTTCGGGATGTGTTTGATTGACACATCCTTGCACTTTCACAAAGTAAACTTTATTCTTAAAGGACTTATCGCATGTTTCTAAATTATTTGAAATTAAAAGCGTAAAACGTTCCTTATGACCACAGTTTATAAATTTTGTGTTTTTACTGCGGATAAACCACGATAATTTACCAATTATTGACTCAAATGAAAACCCCTGAATTAAAAATCTAAATTAATTAGATAGCGATCACATGACCCTGTGTCGTCAAAGGTGACAATGGCTGATCAGCTCCTCACATTAATCTTACTAAAATATCCGTGATACAACCTGAATTTTCTGCATTATGGAGGACCAAATCACTGATTTTATCGATATGAATTTGAATATCCAACCTTATATTCTAGAACTGTCAGCAAGAAAAAATCTGAAAAATTTGTTAACTTTGTAAAAATAACAGCGATGATAGCGAGGGAGACGCGACGAAGATGAAGAAACTCGCCATCACAATACAATTTGATTTGTCATCTTATCACATGTATTAACTTATTCGATTCACAAATTTAATATTACATAACTTTGTTATTCTTCGTTTTTAACATAATACTAATCTATGCAAGTATGCCTTCATGTTTTGTAAAGGATGGCGGTCTCGGAAAAATATTTTCTGATCACGAAACATTGTCGTAATCAGACCTACAGATGCTAAATGTTTGGAATAAAAAACGAAAATATCTCAAAAGTCTTATACCTTAGAACTAGTTAATGTATCTATAGTAATTGAAAAGCAGATTAGGAATTAATTTTTTTCAGCATTTTTCATAATTAGCTGCATTTGTCGTTAATAACTCCATAAATAGTGTGCAACTTTTCATCTCTTTATCACTGAATTGTCGCCTATGACGTCAGAGCAGTATTTCGCCGAAATCCAACTGAAATATGCATATTGTAGTATTTGAATTTCAACTCTCAATATCTCTTAATATACACTTTCAACAACGTTTCTTGTATTCAGTATTTTAATAAACAAGGTTGTAGATAATATTTTTCATAAAATTAAGATTTTTGAAAAATCATGCGATAAGTCCTTTAATACTTAAGAAAAGTAGAAATTTTGTTGTGTATTAATAAGAAAAAGAAATAAAGATATAATCCACAAAATTCATATACTCTTATATTAAAATCATTTTGGTTTAAATTGGTATTTATATCAAAAATTGATTACATACTTCAGTTACCTTATTTTCCAAAAGGCTCAAACATAGGGCTACATGTATATATACATTTAAGACAAGGCATTTCATAATAGTGTGTGTACCTAATGGTGTACGCTGAACTTCTTTTGTGCTTGTGGTCTCCTGTTCAATCCCCCCAAAATCCAGATTTTTTTTGTATTGATCACAGGCCTTTGGATAAAATTCACCTTAAATCCGACTTTAAAAAAATAAATTTGGATGTATAAAAAAGATATATTTTTTTAACACCCCAATTCTTTTGTAAGTCGGATTAAAGTGATCTAAAGGCCTGTGACAGAGATCTATACATTATTGTTCCAACCTGTCTGGTTTATACATTTGAATTTAAAGTTACCTAGACTTAGAATGACATTGAATTTTTTGCCATTTTGGAAAGAACAGACACATAAAGAGAACAAGAGGCCCAAGGGCCTTAACGGTCACCTGAGTATAATACAACAATTTAGAAGTTAAATACACTGATAGATGAAGCTTTGTTTCCCTAAAGCAAGAGAAGTAGGAAGATCAGGATCAACAAAATAATTAGTCTAGTATTCAGTATCAACTCATAAATTAAGTTCTAATCTGTCCCCCACTTAACACTATCACCATGCAGACTATTAACAAACTATTAGTGCTTCTGTACTATTTTTAAACCCATATTAAGACCTCTCGCATTGACCTCTCTTATGGTCTTTGAAGAACTTTTAATAAGATAAGTTATTTTTGTCTCATTTTTATTTATCTATTACTTACAGGTCTACCTGATTATTAAAACTAAGAAAATACTTTTTGAATTATATGATAAACATTCTTGCATAATTATCTTATTCTATTAACCTTTCAAATACATTATTTACAGTGATTAATTATCAAAGGTGAATGGAAAAGGGGAATAACTTCTCTCAGTAGAATACAAATTAATAGAGCCCTGCCCAGGACTAGAATGCTTAGACAAATGGTCCAGATGTTCAAAAATCTGGTAGATACACGCTTACTTATATCATTTAAACTTTTACTCAGTTTTCTTCCAATATGCCCAGAAGTAGAGAAGAATTTCACAGGTACAATGCATTTTCACTACAGATTCAACAAAGCCTTACCCTAACACCAGAACCCAAGACCAAGGGTCAAGAAATTTACAAATTTGGAAGAGTTACCCTCATCATCATAACTATGGACTTCAAAGAATTAACACTTTTCCACTATATTATCAAAAGCCCCTCCCACCCCACACCACCCCCCTTATTATGCCAGAACCCCTGACCCTAGGACCACAAGATTTAAAAATTCTGTTCGAAGTTCCCATTTTCATCATAGCTAAGCAATTTATTTATCAGCTCAATGCTAAGGAGCAGACAGGATTAATTAATGATTAATTAATAGAATTAATGCTTTTTCACTATATAATCAATAGAGCCCCCCCCCCCTTCCTCAAGAACCCCAAAAACTGAGGCCATATATTTGAAAATTTTGGAAGAGGCATCCTTGCCTATCATAATCATGTACTTGGTTTGTTTAAATAATCTCCAGTAGCAGAGAAGAAGATTTTCAAAGAAACATTGCATTTTCACTGTATAATCAATAGAGCCCCGTCCTAACACCAGAACCCCTGACCCTGGGGCCATGAAATTCACAATTTTTGAAAAGGCATCCTTATGCATCATAACCATGCACTTTGTTTGTTTATATAATACCCAGGAGCAGAGAAGAAGATTTTCAAAGAATTAATGCATTTTCACTATATAATCAATAGAGCCCTGCTCTAACATCAGAACCCCTGACCCTGGGGCGATGGCTTTCACAATTCTGGAAGAGGCCCACCTCCTCATCATAACTATGTACTTAGTTTATCACCTTAATGCCCAGGAGTAGAGGAGAAGATTTTCAAAGAATTAATGCATTTTCACTATATAGTCAATAGAGCCCCGCCCTAACACCAGAACCCCTGACCCTGGGGCCATGAAATTCACAATTCTGGAAGAGGCATTCTTGCTCTTCATAACTATGTACTTAGTTTATCACCTTAATGCCCAGAAGCAGAGGAGATTTTCAAAGAATTAATGCATTTTCACTATATAGTCAATAGAGCCCCGCCTTAACACCAGAACCCCTGACCCTGGGGCCATGAATTTCACAATTTTGGAAGAGGCATTCTTGCTCTTCATAACTATGTACTTAGTTACTTTATCTAATACCCAGGAGCAGAGAAGAAGATTTTCAAAGAAATAATGTACTTTCACTATATGATCTATATAGCCCCACCCTGGGGCCAGAACCCCTGACCCTGGGGCCATGAATTTCACAATTTTGGAAGAGGCATTCCTGCTCATCATAACTATGTACTTAGTTACTTTATTTAATACCCAGGAGCACAGAAGAAGATTTTCAAAGAATTAATGCATTTTCACTATATAATCAATAGAGCCCCGCCCTAACACCAGAACCCCTGACCCTGGGGCCATGAATTTCACAATTTTGGAAGAGGCACTCTTGCTCTTCATAACTATGTTCTTAGTTACTTTATTTAATACCCAGGAGCAGAGAAGAAGATTTTCAAAGAAATAATGTACTTTCACTATATGATCTATATAGCCCCACCCTGGGGCCAGAACCCCTGACCCTGGGGCCATGAATTTCACAATTTTGGAAGAGGCATTCTTGCTCATCATAACTATGTACTTAGTTACTTTATTTAATACCCAGGAGCAGAGAAGAAGATTTTCAAAGAAATAATGTACTTTCACTATATGATCTATATAGCCCCACCCTGGGGCCAGAACCCCTGACCCTGGGGCCATGAATTTCACAATTTTGGAAGAGGCATTCTTGCTCATCATAACTATGTACTTAGTTACTTTATTTAATACCCAGGAGCAGAGAAGAAGATTTTCAAAGAATTAATGCATTTTCACTATATAATCAATAGAGCCCTGCCCTAACACCAGAACCCCTGACCCTGGGGCCATGAATTTCACAATTTTGGAAGAGGCATTCTTGCTCTTCATAACTATGTACTTAGTTACTTTATTTAATACCCAGGAGCACAGAAGAAGATTTTCAAAGAATTAATGCATTTTCACTATATAATCAATAGAGCCCCACCCTAACACCAGAACCCCTGACCCTGGGGCCATGAATTTCACAATTTTGGAAGAGGCATTCTTGCTCATCATAACTATGTACTTAGTTACTTTATTTAATACCCAGGAGCACAGAAGAAGATTTTCAAAGAATTAATGCATTTTTAGGTCACCTGAGTCACTCAGGTGACCTATTGCTATCCGTTTTTGTCCGTCGGCGTGCGTCGTGCGATGTGCGTTAACATTTGAACATTTTTAGCTTCTTCTCTGAAACCGCTCAACCAATTTCAACTTAATTTGGCATATAGCATCTATGGGTGAAGGGGAACAAAAATTGTGAATTTCATGGTCCCTGCCCCCCTGGGGCCTGAGGGGTGGGGCTAAAACCACCAAAATTAATGCAATCTTTAAAAATCTTCTTCTTTACTCCTGGACATCAAGCAGTCAAACT